ATCACTAAATTTTTACTATAGTAGTTTGATTACATTTATATTTTTCTCTTTGTCAATGAAAATAAAATATTACAATTAAAAATAACCAATACTGGTTAGTGATTTTTGAAACCTTAATTCGCACCTAATGTGAAATTTAACTTAAATCAGTGGAAATGTGATTAACTGTGCTCAATTTACAAACTTCGTCAGAATGGTATTGAATTGATACAAATTTCAATCAGTAGAAATATCAAAAACAGATTGAGAATAGATAATGCCAACTTCTATTTTTCTTTATTCATAATAGTTTTATTGTTAATTATCACAATGGGAAACAAGCTTGATACTTGATCATATGGTGAAACTTTGACTTTAATTAATATTTTAAATAAAAAGAAAATTTTGAAAATTATAGAAGAAGTTTCAAGAAATTTCATATTATAGAAATTTTCTTCCTAAATATTTCAGTATTGTAAGCATCACTATTATATTATTTTCTTTTATTTTTAACATATTTTGCCAAAAATGTTACATGTGCTTAAATAACTGCTATAAGATACAGTAATTAATTATTTATAATATATTTAATCGATAATTTAATTGGCAATTTAACAAAAGTTTTTCAATATTCAATTCCTTTTTATTCAAGTGACTATGGATGTACCAATTTTTCTGAAGTCAATCTTCATTATTACTTTATTTCTAATAGAAATAGCAAACTAGATTTATTTTGTATTTAAGTAAAACTGAATTGAAGGTTTTAGTGGAAATTAAGTTACTGATTATAATAACACATTATTCCACATAAATGTATTTTTGTATGCTGAAAAACAATTTTTCTGTCTAGTTGTTTGGAGGACTGCTAATTGGTGTAGGTCTCTATGCATTTGTGGACAAGTGGCAAGCAACTGGATCTGTCAGGGTGGAAAATGTTTACGATGTGGTCTTGAATATTTCTTTAGTGATGCTGATAGCTGGTGGAGTGGTCTTTGTTGTTAGTTTTGCAGGATGTGTTGGAGCTCTTCGTGAGAATACATGCCTTCTTAAATTTGTTAGTTTTGTTACATATATAAAAATGTCTTTACAATTATTATAAAATTTTACTGATCGATTAACTTTTTTAGTATTCACTATGTCTTCTGGTATTTTTTCTTTTGGAAATGGGTGTGGCTGTAGTTGGTTTTGTATTTCCACATACATTACAGTCTCTTTTGGAAGAATCATTTACCGACAAAATAATTCAAACATATAGAGAAGATCCAGATTTACAAAATTTCATTGATTTTGGGCAACAAGAAGTAAGGATTCTTGAACTCAATATACAATATATAAATTAACTAATATAATTAATGTATAATATATTATAATTAATATATTATAGTTAAATAATATGTTGAATTTTATACATATAATAACATCTGTGGAATATTTTGTTACAGTTTAGATGTTGTGGCCTGAGTCAGGAAGGATATCTAGATTGGGGAAAAAATGAATATTTCAATTGTACTAGCCCTAGTGTAGAACGTTGTGGAGTGCCATTTTCTTGTTGCATAAATGCTACTGATATATCCGTATGTTTTTATCTATTATATTTACATGTGAAATATGAAATAATAAATAATATGAAGTATGAAATGATTGAATAATGTTTTTATCTTTAAAAAACAAGAACAAGTCCTTAAATATTTATTACTAATAAAATAATTTTTCAATTCTAGAGTGGGCTTGTAAACATAATGTGTGGCTACAAAGTCCAAATGTTACCAGTATCGGAAGCGAGCAAAAAAGTTTGGACTAGCGGATGCATCGAAATTGTACGCAGCTGGGCGGAACGTAATCTCTACACAATAGCTGGTATTGCTCTAGGTATTGCACTTAGTCAGCTTTTTGTGATTTATCTTGCAAAAACGCTGGAAGGACAGATCGAGTTGCAAAAGTCACGTTGGCATTCCTGAGCTTGACTTCAGGCCACCTACCGTTATCAAATACATTCTTCAGCCAACAGGCAGGTGGCCAATGGTAGTGGCCGATCGCGCGGCCAGGACACAGAGACAAATATAAACGCGCGAATGGCACTGCTCGTCCTTTTTGCGATCTCTTTATATATATTATGCATTTTGTCCCTTATCAAGCTCGTTCTTTATTTTAAAAATTATTTTCATTTATACGTAAGCAAAGGATAAATGTGTTGACTAGCTTTCGTTCTCTAGATACTCTTTAACATCATATGGGATGATACATTTGTAATTAAACATTGATAAAAATTTGCTTGCAAGAAATCACGTACGCGGATATGACGATTTAAATGCGCTATTAAAGACAAAAGATTTTTTATCGTGGAGCCCTGTAGTATGTACTTTGTTGAACATACAATTGTGTTATATTACGCGATGTGAAGAAACTTGTAAATGACGAATATGCATCAACACCATATTTCTCATAAAATAAAATTTTATTTTCCCATATTATGGGCTTGTAACTTCTCATTAGATGTACATTTTTTGTTTCGACGGTATCAAACATATTTGACGAGATAACTCGCCTATTAAAGATATATACTCTCTCAGATCTGATAAATATATTTATATTTTATTGCGATATTAAATATTTCTAATGCGAGAGTTATTTACAACATAAATGTCGCCGTTTTCGACACTGATGTAACATTGTATTATTAATTGAGTAACATTATGAAATAAGTGATATGCGAGTTCGTAAGAATTGAAATAATGTCGATAATCGTGTGCTAACTTTCGTATTTCTTCCATTAGATATGTGCACTTAGCTTCAATATGGTTTAGGCACTTTTAGTATAGGAATGTAGCCATATAATCAAATGAAAGAATTTGCTTTACATTAATTTCTAAAAATTAAGTTTTCTCATTGGACCATTAGTTACGTTCCAAACTGCATCGAGAAAAAGGATGCCAAACTGTATTGAAACTAAGTATGCACAATAATTTTAAGATTTCTGGCTCCCATTTCATTGTGGTTATTTTATATTATGATATCAAATGCCATTTAATACGAATAATAGTGTATGAAAAGAATTAATTTGTTGCAATGTACACTACTATTGAAGAGATTAATTTTTTCCTTTGTGATATGACCCAATATGATTATATTTAGAGCCAGAAAATCTTAAAAATTATAAATTTATACACCGTAAACAAATCTCTTGAAGAATTTACTTGCTTTACTATATAACTAGATGTATAAATAATTAATATAAATTAATATAAATTTTGTTAATTCTTATTTTTAAATAATCTTGTTTAATACGCGAAGGATTTTTATTCATGACTGTTATATTGTGTGCATATATGCACGTGCACGTTTATACGGGGGTATATATTAATTTGCGCCTACTATCTATATAGCATTATCCCTAAAAACTTGATTCGAAAAATATAAAGTCATTTTTTCCGTGATGTTCAATAAAGTTTTAATTACTACATAAAATTTAGCTAATCTCAATAGTCGTTTAAAGAGATACAAAAATTATTTATATTATCACACGCCAAAAACTACATGAAGTCGTTTTTAGAGACATAGCGATGTTATATTATTGCAGTGGCTCGCTCATGCATATTACTAGATACACAGCTCATATACGTTTTGTGTAATAAAACATATATACAAAGGTTTTCGAGATATACAATCAAATGAAAAATAAATGCAAGTAAGAGTCAAACATTGATGGCAGAGTGATATAATATTTAATAAGAAAAAGAAATAATGTATATAAATAGTATATATTTTGAATTTTGAAATTGATATTTTAGAGTTGAAATGGGTACAAACGATTGAGACCAAGACGTTCGTTATATATTAAAGATAAACATATCTCTTTTTTTATTAAATATTATATCACTCTGACATCAGTATTTTATTCTTTTTTATCTTTTATTTTTTATTTAATTGTATATCTCGCAGACGTACGTCCATTTAACAACTGCGTCCATCAGCTCTCATTTATTTAATAATTATTGTTTTATTAACTCTTTGCACTCGAGGGTTCCGGAGCGGATTAAACTTCATGGGAAAAGATGTCACAGAACTTTTCAATTCAAGTTTTCATAAGGAATAATACTATATAAATAATAGGCGATAATTAGTTTATTCCTTTTGTGCGTGCGTGCGTGCGTGCGTGCGTGCGTGTGTGTGTGCGTGCGTGTGTGCGCGCGTGCGTGCATGCGTGTGTGCGTGTGTGTGCGGGCGCGTATGCGCGCGCATATTAAATAGAAAGGGTACATTTTTGGAAGTACTACTCCACCGAAAACCACGATTATTCTGGTGGTAATCAATAAAACAAGTTATAAAAAGATATTTTTATATATTTTAAAAAGTTGCATGAGGTTTTTATCTAATAACTTAAGTTTTATTTTCTGTCGAACTTTTACACGTTTACATTGTCATCTATATTAACCATAAGATCGGAGTAAAACGTTGGCAAAAATAAAAAAAATCATAGACACATTTACAATGATCAGTACGTCGAAATAGAAGGAAATAGTAATTATTTAGAACAGAAAACATATCTTTATGTGCGCATTTATTATTAAAGATTACATCTTGTCAAAGATTGTTTGAATCTTTCACCTTAATAAATTACTGAGTCTATCTTATACTAATAATAAAATAATAGATAGAAAATAAAATAACAGATCCTGAAAAAATTAGCAAGGCCTCTATGCAAGGTTTGGAAACTTTGAAATTATTGTCTTCGTGAGTCTCGTCTCTCCATCGGCACTCCAGTTATCAACTTGCTTTGAAGGACTAGAGATTTTCTGGTTCTTACAAATTTTCTTATTGCAAAATAAATTGCGATGTGAAACTTCTTTTACAGTAAAAAAATCTGTAAGAACTAGAGAATTCCAAGTCGTATGAGGCAAGTTGACAACTGGAGCGCCGATGAGCAGGCGAAACTCATAAAGACGGAATAATTTTAAAGCTCAATTCTCCTTGCGTAGGGGCCTAATTTTTTTCAGGATGTTATTTTAGTAAAGACAGGCTGATTTAATAGGTGAAAGATTTAAATGTCAATAACGAGAACAATTCAACTTCTTTCATTTTAACAAACAACAAGCGATGAATAGAACCTTCTGAAGGTTACTCAAGATGGTCATCTCTATGATATATGTCAAAATTATAAGAGCTGGAGCCCCTATTCCATATATTACCAATATTCACTTATAATAATTGATTGTGTTCTATGTATGATGTTGTATGATTTCTTCAAGTGTATTAGCATCTCGACATTGTACAGATTCAATGAAGAATTTTTGCTGTTGCGTTCAAAACCACAAAAAATTATGTATCGTCAATTATCCGTCCTCTGTTATATTTTCTTTTGTCAAACTTCGCTTCACCTACTTCTGTTATAATGTTTGGCCTATCTATTATCGTTGAAGTATTTTTTCTGACTTGAATAGATCATCGTCTCTCTTATAAAGTTTGACCAATCAGTAATCGCTTGTCGTCCTATGTTGAATTCATTCTCCAAAAAAATTTAATATGGTGGTGATAATAATAAATATTGCACAATAAATTGGCAACATAAAGATAGAGACAAATTTGCGTTATTGAACCATGGTCCCGTACGCCACGATTACCGGAAGTTGCAACGAGAATAAATGTATTTCTTTCCACAATTTTTTTTTCACTTTTGGCACCTTCATATTAAATTTACATTTAATATTGTACCTTCGTTGCAAATATTGCACATAACTTGAGTAGGTATAGCACCGTGGCATTATAAAAAATCATTAGTTGTTACATTACAGGAGAAAATATCTAATGTCTGTTGAAGAGTAACGTGACAATTTGTTATTACTCACTTCCATCGCCAAAAATCAATTGAGTGAGCAATAAACAGAAAACTGCTGATATTTAGAATCGATTACATATGTTTACAAACATAAAGGACTTTATAGCGAAATTATAACTATCATAGAATTGATCTTTAAAAATTTAAATATACCTTGACGATTTTGATTTTTTCGATGGAAGCGAAATTATAACTATCATAGAATTGATCTTTAAAAATTTAAATATACCTTGACGATTTTGATTTTTTCCATAAAAAACCTCATGCCCCCTTTTTTAAACTTATATAAATATTTTTTTATAACTTCTTTTGTTGATTACTACAAAAAGAAAAGCAGTTTTCAGTAGAGTAGTAGTTCCAAACATTTACCAAAATATGCATACGTACCACACACACACACACACATACACGTGTGTGTGTGTGTGTGTAATATTCTGTTTTGCATACTTAGTGATTATATAGAAAATTATTCCTATAAATAATTATGTTGGTAACCATGCACTCTGTTCAACAATACTTACTGTGTCGATAATTATTAATGGTATTTTATTCACTTGTTCTGGTAGTGTATGTAAAGTCCTTAACAAAATAGTTCACTTATAATCTTAAGACAATATTTTACGCCCTCAATCTTTATCTAAATTATCATTTATTTATTTTTTTAGTTACAGAATGGCTGTTTAAAACAGACATAATTTAAGATACAAAACTGTCATTATACACTATTTAAAAACAAAGACTTAAAGCATGAAACATTGTCTTGAATCGATAAGTCAGCCATTTTATTAAGGCTATATCTATATTGTATGAAATCACAAATAAGCGCACATTTATTTGTACGTTTATATATCGCTATAAATAGTATAACTTATGTACATGAAACAAGAAACGTCCAGTGCCAAAGTCAGAATATTGTCATAAATAGGTAAAACAGAGGTTGGCTCGTTTTTAGGAAAAGACCTAAGTAAATATAAATCGTAGTCATTACAAATCAGTAGGCGAATGTTCACGTGTAATATCGTATTTTTCTGTATTCTAAGTAACAGAATGTTGCAACTGTTACTAGAGTTTGCTTTAATTAAAGTATAAGTGATAACTGTTCAGATAAATTTGAATTTGAAATTAAACTGAGGGCCACTTGCACCAACTACGGTTAATTTAACCGACTGATTAACTCAACGGAATTGACCAATTGCATTGATCAGTTTAGCTAATTGGCTAATGCGATTGGTCAATTCCGTTGAGTTAATGAGTCGATTAAGTTAACCGGAGTTGGTGCAAGTAGGTCTGAGAGTTCTATTTTTCATTTTTTTTAATTCTTTTAGAAAATTATGTAGAATGATACGATATTAAGCGAAACATAGGATGAGTTTGTAGTTTTGTTACAAAATTTACAGGCATATTCTACACCGTACAACTAACTCACACAACAAATTCTGATAAATATTGGTCCTAAAACCATTATTTTTTCGGATATAGCCACTTTTATTTCAAATGTTACTTTAAATAAGCAAATGCTTGAAGTAACTTCCATTAGCAGCTTACATGCCATATTAGATTTTCTTATATATTCAAATATTAACGGTTGATTTCTTATAATATCACAAGCGTTTTATATACATTATTTTAATTTTTAAATATTTTTTACTTCTGCAAAATAGACTATAAATTGATATTATAGATGCGTGAATGTGCTTACAACGTTTTTGTTACATGAGAACAGATTTGATATACTTATTGACAACATTTCTTCATATTTGTTTCATTTTCTGTGTCAATTTTTCAAAGCCTCATATATACTTTATATTACAACCAAAAGTGACTTACTCTAAAAGATAATGGCCTTTGAACTCATTTGTTAAATCTTTTTGTTAATTTTAGGGTGTATAATATACCTATAATCTTTGTGACAGGATTTCGGACATTCCTTATATATACTTACTGAGCCGTATTGGACTTGATTTGCACTTATTCACAATACTGATTCAATCATTCTTTCATTTCAAACAAATTTGACAATAATCTGATATGAAT